TAAGAACACACACTGTCCTCACTCCCTATTACAAAAAGGCAACTATAACAGCAGTAGTTTAAGTTGCTTGTCTAATGGCTGCAATTATTGTTTCCCACTAGAGGGCTTTATCTGGTGACTCAAAACACTTCAGTACTTTACAGAAGTAAACAACAGCAGCACAAGACACCCAGGATAAATAACATGTAGATTTTTTTCACTTCCTGACCTGCTGGAACTCAGGCAATGTATCTGGGCACCAGGAAACAGAGAAAGGAGAAGAAACCATTAGGAACTCATGAACAACTCATTCTGGATTTTCCAACTTCTAGCCTATATGAATATTTTTTTTCCCCCCCCCCCATCCCTTTTCTCAAAAAAGGGATGTAAATTATACACTTTGAAATGGCAAATGAAGCCAGGATTTAAATTTCCTATGCTTCATTTGCATAATGGCAGACAGTTCTTTTTGACACGGGGCTTTTTGATAGAAAAACGGCAGTTTAGACGGGATCTTTCGAAAGATCCTGTAAACCTCATTTTTTGAGGAGTACAGGATCTTTCAAAAAAGGGTTTTATTTTCGAAAGATCTCCATCTAAACTGCCGTTTTTCTATCGAAAAGCCACAAGAAAAAAAAAACGTGCCTGCCATTATGCAAATGAAGCACGGGAAATTTAAATCCCAGCTTCATTTGCAATTTCGAAGTGCCTAATTTACACAGGTCTAGACACACCCACAGAGTCCAGTAAGTATTCCTTGAAAGAGAGCAAAAGTGTAGACATGAATAACTCTTAACTGAGCATCAAGAGCATACCCTGAAGGTAAGCCAACACCACAAGGCAAAGTGAATACAAAAGCATTTTACTGAATTCTATAAACAAGAAATAAACTGTATTTCATACTAAGACACTGCTTTTAACTTCTGTTACTATTCCAAATTTACAAAAACAAGGTTCTTCTTACAGTATGTTTTTAATGTAATTTTTTAATGTTCAAGGCAAAGTCAAAAATTCGTCATAATCATGTCAATATTGCCCGTGGCAGCTGTTGCATATAGAACCTTATTGTGATATAGAGAATACTGTGAATGAAACACATTACAGGTTGGACCTCCCTGGTCCAGTGCCCTCGGGACCTGACCGGTTCCAGATGAGGGAATTTGCGAGACAATGGGAGGTCCTGACACCACCCCTATCCACTGCCTGCTGCTGGTTCTTTCGGTCTGGCCAGGCTGCCTGCTGGCCAGCCCCAGCCCTGGCTTCACTAACTGCCGGGTAGCATGCGGCCGGCCATGCTGCTTCTGCTGGGCTGGCATGGCCACGGCCAGGTTTCCCAGCCCCACTGCCAGGTGGCACATGGCCCCAGCTGTGGTGCTTCTACAAGGCTGCCACAGAGCTGGACTCGCTTTCCCTCCCAGGGTGCTGCCCCAGCTCTGCTGCTGAGAGGCAGGCAGCCCCAGTCCGGACAGCTGTAGACCTGCTGCCGCCATCCAGGATATTAGGACTCCATCGCTGCCTGGACTGCCATGGCCCCAGCCAGGCAGCCCAGATAGCATGCCACCGCTACCCGGGCTGCCCCAGGACCACCACTGTCCTGGCTGCTGCGATCCCACCACCACCAGACTCACGGGGGTCCTAGCTGCTGGCCTTCCTGCTCTGGAGTTCTCTTATCCCAGAGCACCCATGGTCATGCCAGACCACAGATGTTACCAGATGAGAGAGTCCTGGTTAAGGGAGGTGCAACCTCTATAAGATTAAGCTTTAGTTCCAAAATGACTTGGATAGAAACAGATCTGATAGGCTGCAGACTCTTTAAATCTACATAATTATCTCCTAGTGAAAATAGACAGCGTATACTGAGCCTATACATTCTCTTCAAAAACAGAGCAACAACATGCCATCAAATCTGTAATTATTCAAAATGAGTTTTAAAAAAAATAAGTTTGCTGTGTCTCCCCCCTCTCCCCCCCAAAGGTACTGGAACTGCTGCAACTTTTTTTTGATGAGACCGAGGAGTGATAAACAGATGTGCACCAAAGAGCTTTTCAAACAGCTTGTTAAACTTTTACTCCAGATCTCTTCTGTTTACTGTTAGGTAAGCAGACCAATTCCAAAAGCATTTCCAGGACCCAGGTTAAAATACTAGCAGCACTGTATCTCTCCTGTGCCACCATTACCAGAGCAGGATTTCTGATGCAGAAGTTGCTCTGTGACAAACAATTGAAATAAAACTCCCTTTGATAATTTTTAAGTAGTCTTTTGATCTATGTAAAGCAGAATAATACTATCCTAATAGCTAAGAGAATATTTCTGAAAACAAAGTGTTTTATCTTAATTGTTACTGTTATCAAAATATCAAGGGCCCAAATCAGAGATGGGGGCAACAATGTAGCCTATTCTAGAGACTAAGGCTGGAACACAGTGAGCACTTTCAGAATGGACTGGCTCACTTTAGGATGCTGGATAAGTAATTAAGACCAAAATTGTTTCAACTGTCCACTAATTTTTTGTTTACGTTCATTTGAACACAGGTCCAGCTTTTCAAGTTTGCTGAGAACAACTAACAACCCTTAAAGACAGGCACTAGATATCACAAAACATACACACAAAAATAGACACATCGAGTTAGTGGTGACCACTTTTGCTTTAATCAATGTGTCTTATTGGCTGTCCTGTTCTTTCAAAAGGGGTTAGTACTTACCTATCTTTGTCAGGTCACTAGAAAAATTGATGCCATGTAAGAGGAAAATAAATCAGAAATGGAAATGCCCAGACAATTTCAACACAAGCCTCCTACACCATCCTACCACTGAAACTTGACCTGGATCTGGTAGGGACTCCATACATGAAAAAGTTGGTCAGTCCCCAAGTCTATTCTGGTCTTGGTTTCTCTGTTTAAACAGCTAAGAGTGATAAACATTATAGCTTAATACTATTCACTAGAAAACTGATTCCAACTTAGTGCACAGAAGTTATTATACAGACGTCTTTAATCACTACTAACCCATGGTAAATTGGAACTGGTGATCTAGAGATGAAAGGCTGTATGTCATTATTATTTGCCTGAGTTACAAATTTGCCCTAATTTTAAATGTAAACTAACTATTTTATTAGATCTCTCTATTTCGCAACGTAGGCACTTTGGTCAATTTTACCTCTGGTTTGCAAACTGACAAATGCATACCTCCCCTGTAATATATTATTGTTCTCTCTCAAAGGTGCACTTAGAAGGTCTTAAGTTAAAGGCACACAGCTAAACAAACTGGAAATGCAGTATGTTTAAAGCTCCAGCCTTCTTTTATAGTCTTAGATACAGTATTCTAGAATTCTAAATGTAAGTATAACATGCAATTTAGTACTAAAAAGGGCAGCATTCTAAATAATAAAAAAGTCACCATTTTGGTATAGACATAAATCTTCAACTTATTACTTTAAATATAAGAGAGAGTAAAATTTTTACTACAGGAAAACTAAAGAGTGCCTACTCTGCAGGCAATATATCAGAGGTGGCCAACCCTTGGCTTGAGAGCCACATGCGGCTCTTCCCCTTTTAAAGTGCAGCCTGCAAAGCCTCCCCCGTGGATCGCGAAGCCACCCCTGCGTCCCTAGAAATGGTCCCTGGCCTGTGTGCTCAGCGGGGTAGGGGAGCCGTCTGGTGCGGTGATTCAAAATGGCGCCACCAAGAACTTGAAGTGGCCAAAAAGCCTTGTCTTTTCTTTTAAAGGGACAGCATCCTTTTTTTTCCTCTGAACAAAAATAGCTCAAAAAAATTTCTGGTGCATCTCTTCGCATTTTTCCACTGCTGTTTCGGCTTTCTTCATTTAATGGGTTGGCCACCCCTGCAATATATTCATTTGCTGTACTCTTCCTGGTAAATCCATCCTTCTCAGTGTTTATTTACAGCACCAGGTAGTACAATTATATAAATGAAACCACTTGCATACTTTATATACATGATTCCATATGTCTATTGAAGCACTGCATTTTCATACATACATAAAAAGGAAAGGATCATACCATGTATGTTCAGTATGGTGTTAGTTTTCAGTGATTTGTTAAGACCGAAACAAAGAAGTCATTAAGCACCTCTGCCATTTCCAAATTTCAAGTTACTGTTTCTCCCTTCTCACTGAGCAATGGGCCTACCCTGTCCTTGGTCTTCCTCTTGCTTCTAATATATTTAAAGAAAGTCTTCTTGTAACCCTTTATGTCGCAATAACAGTCTGATGTGTAGATGCAGATGAAGTTATTCTGAAATAATGCTAGTTATTTTGAAATAAAGTTGCTGTGTAGATGTACCCTTAGAGATATTTTCTTCTCCCTACTTGCAGTGTGTAAAACACCCACAACTCACCACGTAAAAAGGGGAAACAACTGAAAATCTCTCTATTGAAAGTCTTAAAATTGTATGTAAACAAACTCGAAATATGCAGAATATTTTCCCACTAATCTATGTAGTTACTTGTAACAGCAGCAGGTAACAACATTTTCAGACAGCAGTGAAATTTAAGTATGTCCTTTCAAAATAACAATTAAGCAATTTTGTCTTCCAAGAAGTGAAATTGCATCAAAATGCATCTATTTGACTGACTGAAACTTGATCATAAAAGTAGGGTATCAAAATGCATAGTCTTTTGTATGGTGCTCATAACTATACTATCTGAACACCAAATATTGAATTTATCCTTACAACACCTGTGAAACACTCCATGTAAACTTGAAAAGTTGTCCTTCTCACGAGTCAAAAATGTTACCTCACCCACCTTGTCTCTCGAATACTTCTCTAAAGCATGCAATGTTTGTTTTATTAGCTGTAAATGGGAGGTGATAAACAAGCAGAGAGAGAAGTGACTTGCCAAAGGTCACACCAAAACTCTAACATAGCCATATCTTAAATCCCTGTCCTGTGCCTTGATTACAAAACAGCAGTGTAGATAGCTAGCTTTAAGTTAACCATCTGATTAAAATAATGGAAAATGTACTGAATCAACATTAAAAGCATAAGTTACATAGTTACTCACCTACAGTATACCAGCTGGCATCTGTCAATTTGTTGATAATAGCTTCTTGAAAGGATCCATCAGGCATCTTGGTTTCAACAATTGCACCGACCTGTGATATAAAATACTTCAAAATTACTACTGACCCAGATTCATGCACTGCAGGTAAAATGTTTCAGTTCTTCCAGAAATATTTTTCTGTTTTGTTTAAATTTAGCTTATGGGATCCCTACTGCTACTTCTGCATACAAAAACAGGTAAAATGACAATTTTTTATGATAAAAATTAATAAATATAATGGCAGCGGTTCA